ATATTTCAGTGTTTTTGAAATGCCACTGAACATTCAGCAATTCCTTCAGTTATAGAAAAAAGAAATATCCTAAAATACATAAAACCTTGTGAATGTGCATTAGAATTACTATACAATCTACATCTTTTTCAGGTACTTTTTTTTTGTTTCGGGAAACTTTTTTGTCTAGAAGACTCGATCAAAGCTGTAAAAATTATTATCCCTAAAATTTTGTATAGAGTTATAATAAGTTATGTAAATTTGATTTTAGTATGAAATCCTCGTATAAATGAAGTAAAAACAAGATAAACAAAAATAATGTCAGATAAAAAGTTCATGTATGCAAATTCCAAAAGCTTTGAAAATCATTATTAATTTATAAATCGATTCAAATTTTCTTTTATCAGATAATAATAAAAAACAATCTTTGCGTTTCAATTAGAAATCGACCGAAAATTGTTTATTGCCCAGAAACTTCGAGATAGTTTCTATTAACTATTAATAAATTAACCTCTCCGAGCAATCACAGAACATTATTTATTTTTTTTACATCATGAACTTGGTTGCTTAGCAACGGAGTAAAATTAAGTAGTATTCTTCTCTTGAATTAGTCTCAAATATTCCTTTGAGGCGGTGACTTTACTTAGCTGTTTTTTGGGACTATCCCTAAATATATATAACTTATTAGCCCCTCCCCGAATTTCTGATCCAATCTTTTCGAAATTTTGCTTACCCTCTCCCCCCCCCCTTTTTTTTTGAGGGTCAGGAATCGAAATATCTAAAAAAAATCTATGTTATTTCAGAGAAAGCACGTTTTTGTGTCTGATTTCGTAACTTAATTAATAGTTCGCACTAATTAATTAGCATATATGAAGTCATCCTAAGAAACCATTCAGATTGACACTTATTACATGAAAATCTAATTATTAGAACAAAAGTTATTCAAGGTGATTTTTTTTATTTATTCATCTTTTCTTTTTTTTTGCTCACTGTACATACAGGGAACATTTTGTCCTCTTTTGGGATTTCAGACCACTTTCTGGACACGACATCGTATTGACTGACCGAGTAAAGAACATCTCAAGACTCTCGGAAGATACCTTTTGGACTTATTATTCGTAATAAAGGACGCATTTAAAAAAAATATTTAGCAAAATTTTTAAATATTTCACCTTTTTAATTACTAAGTTACTTTCATAAAATTGTATAAATATTTCATTCGTAAAAATATTTGAGTAACTGGTTGCAAACATAATATTCATACAAAAGGAGACATTCATTTAAAACTGGATTTTTGCATTACCTAGATGACTAATTAAGTAGTTTTTATGGGGATCTTTAAAATGATTTTTTTTTTTTAATGTCAGGAAGAAAAGAACAATTTTTTGTGTAAAAGTTGTGCATATACAAAATTTTCATTAACGAGTCCCATGCTATACAGTTCTTTTAAATATAATTTTAATAATTTAAAATTTTGATGACGAATAAGATTTAGAATAAATTATTTCGAAAATATACTTGAAATGATTTCGATAACTACTTGAAATACATTATTACTTGAAATAATTTCGAAATGCATATTTGCAATGATGAACTAAAAAAATTAAAACTTTTATAAAATTATATAAAAAAGGATGACATAAAATGATTTTACTTAAAAAATTATGCATTTCAAAACATAAATTTTCAAAGCATTTCATTCATTTTAATACCTGTTATTACCTATACTATTTACCTTTTTCTGTCGGAAAAACTTTTTAAAAAATGGTAATTTTAAAAAATTATTGATCAAGGTTCATTTTTTAATTACGTGTAATTAAGCAAGCTTATGGGCTAAATGTCTCCTTAGCAAATCATTTAGAATTGTAACTATACTTACTTATTAAAATGCAGTCTTTAAAAATTGTAGCTAAGAGCCGCACCTACAAAATTATGAAATAAATTAATATCGACAGAATTACTTATCTCTTTAGAAACAGATAAGGATATTTATCTATAAGAACTTTTCAATGAAAGCTTTCAAAAACCAGGTAGTCTGAGAATAAAAAGAGAGAAAAATTGCTTCTTCATTTTTTTCCCTACCTAACCTTAATTTGGCTTATCATGGAAGCAAATAGTAATCTTATGAGTTTCAGTTTTTTACTATACATGGTGTTATGCAGTTTCACAGTAGCAACAGTCACTTTGCTCTTATTACGAGGGTTGATTTTTAAATAACAGCCGTTTGAAAATAAAAACCGAACGAGCAAATTTCAAGAAGCAAATTTATTTTCAGATTCTACATACGTTTCTCTTTATTCAGCTTAGTTGTCAAGTTTGTTTAAACACTACAACTTACAACTAGATCATAACTTACAATCATAGCTTTAGATAGTACATCAATAGAACAATCATAACTTACAATTAGATTTAGAATACCCTCCTCATACAAGCTTGCTGCCTGCTCCGTTAACCAAGAGGTCACGACCGTTTTCAAGTATTTTCCATCGTTGTTGTGATTGACGCAAAATGATGTTTGAAATATCGAAAAAGATGAAAATAACTCAGCGCAAGGTCTGGGCAGTAGGGAGAGGTGGTCCAAAACTTCCCAATCAAAAGAGTTCCATTAAAGAAGGGATCTGAGCTGCTGAGAGAGTCATTGTCGTAGAGTAGCAAAATTCCCTGTCAGCATGGGAGGGAATTTTGCTACTTCACAAAGCGTAACTTTCCCAATCTGCCAATGAATGCATGCAGCAGACAGGTTTTTTGCCGACTAAAAACGCATTACTGGTCGCATCTCGTACGTGGCAGGCGATTTGTTAAATATGAACAATTTAAAGACACAGAACTATCAGTAAAGTTTGCTATTGACTGTTGCAATTGAGCACAGTTATTCCCAAGAAAAGTCGGGACACAACTCGCACTCGTTGCTAGACATGTGACACCTATTAGTGTACACAACAAAACAGCCCTTACTTAAAAAGCAACCCTTATATTCAGGTTTTTGACCATGTTAGATTTTTATTCATCACTAGGCCTGATTTATGGCTTTTGATACTCTGGGAATCACATTGTCAAAAAATATTAGTTCATTATGCTCTCATATAGATTTTCTGCCTTTCTGTAACAGTTGCGACTTTTGAGCATTTATTTCAAATAATCAATCCATTCCTCATATTCACAAATTTTATCTTGCAGTTTCTCAATGGCTAAGTTTGGGTCACAAGATTTTATAGTGACTCAACAAAAAAGGCAGTTATACTATTGTAGTCCTCTTTATCAATAGGAAAGTCGTGTGTAAATAGGATATATAAAATTGGACCAATTGGATAGGATATATAAATTGTATAAAAGTATGCTATCTTGCGGTACTCCTGCTCTGATACTTCCCACATTCGAAATTACATTTTTCATTTTTATTTGAAAATTTCCATTCGCCAGATGATGAACTCAATTATATCCGATGGAAATTTTAGTTCAATCAGTTCATAAATTATGTTATTGTGTATACTCTATCAAATGCCTTACAGATGCCAAGCAATAGCAAAGCTGGAGTTCGCTTTAGGTGTCTTCCAATATAATCCACTATAAGTAGCAGTTGTTTTGAAGTGTCCAGCTTGGCTCTGCATTCATATTGTTCATCCGATAGACAGAATAGATAGAGTTTTAATCTAATGTACATTATTGTTTCCATTGTCTTCCCAAGAGTGCAAAGCAAATTTATAGCAGAAAAGTGATAGTAAATCTTTATTTGGTTTAGGAATAGCAGTTATTCATAGATCAAGGAAATAATTCAACGACAGACATGCATTATAAATACTGGTAAAGCATTCCCTGAAATTCATTGGAAGGATTTTGATCATTTTATTTTTAAACACACACACTCAAAGCATTTCTATTTTATTACACTCAAAGTATTTCTTTTTTTAAATTAACTGTCGTTGCTTCCTCTACATAAGTTGCTTCTATTATTTAAGGATCGGTACTTTCCAGAAAAAGTTTTCAATGCTTTCATTTACTAGCCAGTCGTGAACAGAACCGGTCAAAGGTGCAAGCCTAGTAAGCGGCTGCGTAGGGAGCCGAGTAAGGGGGGCAACGGAGTCAAGTAAAGCTAGATTTAAAGAAAAAAACTTTTTACTGTTCCCCCCCCCCTCTTCTGAAAGCTTTTTTTTTCACTTGCGTGTCTAAAAAGAAAAGTTAAAATGAATTTATTTTCCTAAAATAAAATGTTAATTGACTCTGAACTCATACTGTTCGTCCGGTAGACAAAATAGATAGACTTCTAATCTATTGTAGATTATTCTTTCCTTTATCTTCCCAAGAGTGCAAAGCTAACTTATAGCTGGAAAGTGATAATAAATCTTTGTTTGATTGAGTAATGGTAGTTTTCCATAAATCAGAGAAATAGTTCAACGACAGACATGCATTATAAATACTGGTAAAGTATTCCCTAAAATTTATAGAAAGGATGTAAATCATTTTATTTTTAATATTATCAAAGCCTTCTTTAAATTTCAATTTAGCAGTGGTTACTTTCTTTAGTTACCTTCAGTTGCTTCTATTATTTAAGGATCATTATTTTCTATGAGAAAATTTTCAATGCTTTCATTTACTAGTCTAGAATTAACGGAGACGGTCCAAGGTGTAAGCCTAGTAAGTGGCTGCGTAGGGTGCCGATTAAGGGCGGGTACCGGAGTCAAGTAAGGCGAGTTTTTAACCCATTCCTTCTCGCTCCCGTGAAAATGTCGGGGTGAGTTTACGTTTGCTATTTCTCGCTCCCGTGATATTGACGGACTGGAGTGTTCAGTAGTAATGCGCCAATAAGAATAAAACTAATTCATTTCTTTTGCCAGGAAAACATTTTATTTCTCATTTCACACACCATATAACAGTACCAGGATATTTTTAAGGTAATTGTAAATAGTTTGTTTATTTTGAACTAGATACTAGCACTAATCAAATACGAGTATTTGGCAAAAATAGACACTTTTATGACCGTTTTCTTGAAAATTAACCGATCGTTTAGAGGTTAAGGAAAAAACTTTTTACGTTTTTTTTTCGCTTGCTTGTTGAAAAATAAAAGTTTAAATGAATTTATTTTCCAAAAATAAAATGTTGAAGTATATATAATACTCTGGTGACAAATTAACCCTTCAAATTGGATAACATTCCTTGTCTTAGATCTTTTCACCAGTGCCAATGACATTCCGCCCGATAATTTACGATCTGAAGATTCTGATAACGGTTACTCATAAAAACTAAGGCCTGTAGAGTTTTCTTTAATGTTCTTCGAAGAGCCGTGATGTCTCAGAGGATTGAGCACTCGCCTTCCAACGAGGTGAACCAAATTCGAATCCCAGCAATGGCTGGTCGATACGAACTCCACATCCGGCTTGCACCGACTACAGTGCTGACGTAAAATATCCTCAGTGGTAGATGGGTTAGAGTCCCCTTGCCGTCAGGCTAACTGTGGTAGGTTTTCCTCTCCATGTAACACACATTCGGGTTAGTTCCCTCAAAAAGTCCTCCACGAAGGCAAGTTTCTCTAAATACTTTATCCAGGAGTTCCCTTGTCTTCTGGAATGGGTTCAAAATTAAGAGGCTACGGAGTTGAACATTAGAAGTAGTAAACCCGAAAAATTGGGTTGGCTGTTCAACGACGGTTATGAAATAAAATAAAATGTTCTTCAAGAAAACCCTCAGGAGACGGGGAAGAGGGACTCGCTTATAGTAATTTCACCTCCCAAAATGCTCTAAGAATTTTTTTTTTTTTTTTTTTTTTTTTTTTTTTTTTTTTTTTTTTTTTTTTTTTTTTTTTTTTTTTTTTTTT